AGTGAGTTAGAAAGTATGTGCACTTGTAACCACCACCAGGCAAACTTGAACGTGGGACGTCTGAAGCCCAGTATAGGAGCCTCTACCCTCTGAGCTAAAAGCCAGCTGCCTTCCAGCCCATGTTGTAAAGGTCTCTTGGTCTTAACTGTTGCTGTGGTCTAGGTGCCATTTCACGGGACAGTGAATCACACTAGGGCTATGTCTACACTTGCAGCTTCTTGCGCAAGAATATCTTGCGCAAGGGTTCTTGTGCAAGAAGTCTTGCGCAAGAAAACGTCCACACTGCCATGTGTGAGTGTGGACGCTCTCTTGCGCAAGAAAGCTCTGGTGGCCATTTTAGCCATAGGGCTTTCTTGCACAAGAAATCCTTGCCGAGCGTCCACACTGCCCGCTTGTGCAAGAGCTCCTGCGCAAGAGGGCTTACACCTGTTAAAAAAGACCTCTCTTACCATGCGATACTGTAAATTTCCTTGCGCAAGAGCGGCCGGGCAGTGTGGATGCTCTGCAGATTCTTGCACAAGAACAGCCATACTTGCGCAAGAAGCCACCAGTGTAGACATAGCCCTAGTGTTTTTCTCTGCTGATTACTGTGTAACCGACACACCTAGGCTATGTCTACACTCATGGCTTCTTGCACAAGTATGGCCGTTCTTGCGCAAGAATCTGCAGAGCATCCACACTTGCGCAATGCCATTATTCCTAAAAATAATCAGTGTAGCAGCATTGCACAAGAGGGTTTTTCTTGCGCAAGAAGGGGCAGTGTAGACAGCTCCCTTCTAGCACAAGAGCCTCTTTCGCAAAATGGCGGCTCATTAGGTATGCAAATGAGGCTCGACAATATTCCACGTTTAGCCTCATTTGCATACTTCTGGCGCAACAACCCACCAGTGTAGACATAGCCTAGCTGATAGTTCTAGCCAGACAGAGCCATAAAATGGGAGCAGGGCTACAGAAAACAGATCCACATGAGTAGTTTGTCCTCAGCAGTTCATATTTGCTGTGATGTATAGTGTACGTTCCTGGCACTACAGTTTAGGATTTCACTGCTGGGGTTTATGGTTCAAATCCAGGCTATGGTAGGTAGCCAAAGTGAGAAGAAAGAAGATGAGAGGATCTTTAGGATCCAAGAAGAAAGTAACAGAGATGACTTTGCCATGGAGACACCCAGGGAAACTACAGTCCCCCAACTTGATTGTCCCTCTCATTACTTGTCTGAGGTCCATGGTTATAGCCTTCAGCTCAGATGAAAGGAGGAACTGAAAGTGGGAGTAGCTGACAATATGCTACTCTCACATGCCCTCTAGGATGTCTGTCTTATTAAATGTATGTTCATGGAGAAGGTGGGTGGAAGGGACAGTTCTATGTTGTTTCTGAGTCACTCTGATCTAGAGATCATCATGACGAAGCAACTCCTTTCCCCTCCTGGGGGTATGGTGAGGAGAAATTAACATGTACTAGACACCATCCCGCTACAGATAAGGTCATCAATGCCCCAGTCTTAGAAAGCAATTGAAGTTGTGATTTGTTCCACAAATCTACTAAGCTTTGAATGTCAGGGAGCTTTGACTCCTTCCCCAAAGTCATGTCTTTTCTACACTGAGAGGAATCTCAGTGCAGCAGTATTTTCACCCAAATTTAAGTGAAAAAAGACTGCAGAGAAACTCTACTTCCATTTATTTTTATTTGGGTTGGATGCAGCTCTGCACAAGCCAGTAAATGTGGGAATAAATTAGTATAAAACTGGTGTAAGCAAGAGAAGAATCAAGCAGATACATGGAGTTTCTGTTATTTGTCCCAAAATGTTTTCCAGTACTTGGTTAAGTGCATGTGCACACCTACATCTGCATGTACCATGCTTGAAAGTTTTCAGAAAAATCAACTGGGCCACGTAGCAGGTGCCAGCAGGATGGTGTCAATTCATAGACCATAATTTAATCAGACTGCTTTGTGTTTATGTGTATGCTAAAGTATCTCTTTTCATATTGTTTGCAATGTTCAGGTAGTCATGGTGGTCCCAGGATACTAAAGAGACAAGGTGGGTGAGGTAATACCTTTAATTGGACCAAATCCTTCAGGGCCCATCCAGCAGGGCTCCAAAGGTGTCTCTCCTCACACCTCCCTGCCCCACATCCCCCAGCCGATTTAACACCCCTCCACCCCAGGTACCCACATTACCACCACTGGTAGCACAGAGGGGCTAGAAAGGCTTTTAGCTGCTGATTCCGCATCACTGCTAGAATATCCCTGTGGCCCGGGGGAGGTGTGTGCAGAGCCATCCCACCCACAGGATGATTTGGGGTGGTGACCTCAACCGTCCTATGGATGGTATGGACCCCCATATTCAGGTTAGCCCTTCATGGGCTGAGGCCAGTAGCAGGGGACAGCTCCTTCACCCTCCTACACCCCCTCTACAATCACTGCAGTGGGGGGAGCCATAGGGAAGTAGAGTGTTGCAACAGCCTCTGCTCTGCCACCATCTCACAGGCCAGCCTAGACACTGCACTTCACTGCAGTAGAAGGAAGCAGAGCGCCCTAGCCTCAGCCACAGCAAGGCGGAGCAATCGGGCTGGCCTGGGACATGGCGTCAGAGCGAAGCAGAGGCTGCTGCATCGTTTCCCTTGCCCGCAGTTCATGCTATGGTGAGTGCAAGGGGAGGAGGGGAGTAGCCCCCCCCCCCCCCATGGTAGTCCCCGAGGCTATGTCCCTCAGGGGAGGAAGCTTGAGGGAAGAGGTGCAATGGAGTGAGAGGGCGGAGCAGTGGTAGGAAGAGGTAGACTGGGAGTAGAGCAAGGCCTGGGTTTGGGGGAAGGGTACAGACCCCAACCCCAGGCTGCAGGCATTCCAGCAGCTATGTGCAAGCTGAATTGTTGAACTGGTCTGGCCCTCTCCATTAATTTGAGGCGCCTGCAATAGAGACTGCCTGAGCTGTCAGGCCTGCAGAAAGGTGCTACTGGACAGTGGAGCTGGCTGAGGTACCTCCGTAACAGGGCAGGACAGTGATATAAAAGTGAGGTTTCCAGAGGCACCAAGAAAGATAAATGGCGGGGCTCCTGGGAAAGAAGAATGAAACTTGCTCCCATATGGAGCTGAGCATGGTGGCAACATCAGGGCATTTCCCTTTATTTTTATTTACCACATCTACAGGGCTAAGAAGAGCCTGTGATAGGAGGATCTTTATTCTTTGATCGTGTGTGTTGGGCAGGCCACTTGTCTATTAAATGAACTTTCAGAGATAATTTGCCTCTCGTGCTGGAGACAACTTGAAGGGCTGTTTTGCTTTAGGCTGTTTTCAATCCTGGCTTAATGAAATGGTGACCCTAACCCCAAAGGGTGGCACATTGGCTTTTTACTGGAGGGTATAAGGGAATTAAAAGCAATCAAGAGGAATAAATGAGGGAATTTAGGAGGGGGTCTTTGGAAGGCAAGTTAATTTGGAATCAGTACAGTGGCAAGGTCAGGAAGAAGAAAGGAAAAAGTGAGAGTTGAAGACTGACAGATTTAATAGACTGTTTGGAAATCTTGAGAATAACAGGGAACCGGAGGCTGGACAAAAGGAGGACAACTGGGCTGGAGCTATCAGGCAAGGAGCTCTGGTACCTATTCTTCTGTGAGTAAATGCTGAATGATTGTGGTCAGCGAAGGCGTTGGTTAGGACCAGGCACAATGAAAGCAGGCTTCCCTACATATCTCCACCAGCCCATTTCAGTCCCACCCTGCAGGCACTATGCAGTCCTAGCCTAGACCTCTTTTGCTACAATTATAATCAGGGCTCGCCAAACCGCAGCGAGCCCCTCTTGCCAGCCGCGCTGTCCGACGATCTGTGCATGCGCAGAACATTCTGCACATGCGCAGATCTCCCGAACCCAGCTCTTCTGGGTTACAATCTACTCACTACGGGCAAGTAGATTGTATAATTTGTCGAGCCCTGATTATAATCTCTGCTTACCTTGAACAAGCATTATCACTATGCTGAACCCTTTTAATTTTAAAATAGAAAAATTGTATCTTCCTGCACAAATAACCCAGGCCCCTAACATTTAAACTTTAAGAGAATCTCTGTTACCTCACAGCAGGATAAAGACTATGACACACAGATAATTAGCTGTGATTTCATCCATTGGAGGGCTCTGATACATTAATAAAAGCCAGTTTGGTTTGCTCTCTCTTGTATGTACACACATAGTATATGGCATTTTCCTATGAAGTTGCATGTGATTTACCTTCTTTAACGAAGTAGAGTAACATCTGGATCTATGCCTCGAAAGGTCAAATACTGGTGCTCCAAACTACTGTACTACCAAGCCACTGATTATATGCACACAGCTACAATTATGTTCTCTGCTTTTCTCCCCATAGCATACCATGTTGGGAATATGGAGGAGGGAGGGCTTATATTTATGTACTCTTTTTTCCTGTCTATTTCTATTCTTCCTTTTCTTTTCCCTTTCTGCTCTCCAGCCTTCCTTCCACCCCACCCCACCTCACCCCACCCCATTTGGAGTGAGGGAGGAAAAGGTCTTTTTCATTGGTACCATGGAGCTGCATCCATGCAGTCCAGTATTTTCTTCTTCTGCATGCCAGCTTATCTCCCTTGCCATATCCCAATCACACTGGCTGTGTCTACATTGGTGCGATCTTGCACAAAAGCGGCCGCTTTTGCGCCAAAACTTGCTGCCTGTCTACACTGGCTGCGAGTTCTTGCGCAAGAACACTGACATTCTAATGTATGAAATCAGGGCTTCTTGTGCAAGAACTATGATGCTCCCGCTTAGGAATAAGCCCTCTTGCACAACTGTTCTAACGCAAGAGGCCAGTGTAGACAGGCAACATGAATTTCTTGAGCAAGAAAGCCCTATGGTTAAAAGGCCATTAGAACTTTCTTGCATAAGAGAGCATCTACACTGGCACGAATGCTCTTGAGCAAAAGCACATCTCTTGCTCAAAGGCACATGCCAGTGTAGACGCTCTCTTCTGGAAGAGTTTTTGAACAAGAACTCTTCCGCAAAAGAGTTCTTGCGCAAAATCATGCCAGTGTAGACATAGCCACTATGTGCTCTAATGCTGTTGGCTATTCTACATCAAGGCTGAATTATACACTGAGGCAGCTAAAAGCAAGAGATGTAAGATGCAGCCTAGATTTAGCAAAATCACCAGCATTGTTGTGGATTATAGTGACATAGTGGCAAGGATCGTTTTGTATAGAAAACGAAGAAATTTCAAACATAATGAAAATTTAACATGGTAGTCCTGAATTGGAGCCCTCAGTACTTGATCCTTACTTTCCTATGTCCTCTCTCCTCCATGTGGGTCATAGCCCTGCAAATATTGAATTTAGTAATTCTTTAAAGTAACATACAGAGCTAAGCACAACATATCACTTTAAATAGTGTGTGGCACAAACATGTGATTTACAACTGGTTGTTGATCATCATTCTAAATCTGTACAGAGGCTTCAGATTTTGAAACAAGATGCAATAAATACAATGAAGTTGTGACTAAGGGATGACACAAGGGAGTGCCCTGAAAAACGAGCAAGAAAGAGAGAAACACACAAAGGCCAAAATTAGATAACTATTCAATGAAAGAAAACTAGTTGTCACTAACGTTAAGGCTGTTATAAATAGATGAAACCCACAAGACTCCACAATAAGGTTAACATTCTGTTTTCTTTTGGGAGGTGTACAGGGCTGTAAGGACTAGGAAGTGTTAAAAGGGTGAAATTATTGTTAAGATTAATATTTGAAAATGTATGCCAATTGTACAAATTTGCAAATACACCAAGAAATGGTACTCTTTTCTTGTTTAAAGTTTAGCAGTTGTAGGTAAATTATTTGGCTCCAGAGATATTGATCAAATTCAAAGCAGCCAAGGTTAATATAAAAATGTTTTTTCTAAATATTGTAGGCCTTCAAGGGAGTAAGAGTTGGTAGATTAAATTACAAAAGTACTTTTCTTAAAGCTGTTTATTTTTCATCCACACATTGTGTCTTCACTCACATTAGTTTTACACTGGTGTAACTACTGTCTAGAGTAGAGCTACTCATGGTATGCACCGGGATATGTTCAGACAACAAGAATGGTAGGAATGGTGTCCCTAGCCTCTGTTTGTCAGGGCCTGAAAATGGATGACAGAGGAGGGATCACTTGATGGTTATCTGTTTTTGTTCCCTCCCTCTGTGGAATCTGGCATTGGCCACTGTCAACAGACAGGATTCTGGGCGGGCTAGATGGACCTTTGGTCTGACCCAGTATGGCCCTTCTTATGTTCCAATCTCCCTTCCTGTTTCTGCAAAATGCTCAGAAATGTCCAGACCTCCAAGAGTTGGTATCTCTAAATATACTCTGGAGGATCAGGAACCAGTGAAAGTGCTTCTTTTCCTATTCTCTTACTTTGGCCATTGACTCTAAATTTTGAAGGAGTTGGTTTTTCTTCAGCACAAAAACTTCTCTGCAAATGTTAATCTTTCCCCGTGATTGAAATCTACATGAAATGGCTTCCTTTGAAAAAGACACTGCAACTGCCAAAGCCTGCCATACCCTTTTCTAAGAAAGCAGGAAGTTCCTTACTGTTTAAATATAGTTACACAATATTAGTATTCTCAGTATGGACACAGAATATGCAGTTTCCTGTTTAATGCTGCATGCATTGATCTGTGTAAGATTGACATTTACTGCACTGATACTGTTAAATAATTGACTTCCATGTTTGTATCATTGTGGAAGCTAATGGTGTCATGGCAAAAATCTAGGACCTATTTTTTAATGTCATAAATGCGACAATATATTTGACTTTTAAACACCTACCTATGAGCCCAGTTTTCTCTCCCTGAATATGTTTTTGAAAATGTTTCAAGAGGTAGCTTTGCAATTTGAAAGATAAAAAGTATTAAACAGCAAAAGTATGCAAAAGATGATGAAATTTTAAAACTTTCTTATGGAAGTTTTTAAACCTCTGTCACAGGGTTGGCAACTTTCTAATTGCACAAAACTGAAAAGCCCATATACCACACCTTCCCTGAGGCCCTGCCCTTTCTCCAAAGCCCTGCCTCCACTCACTCCATCCTCCTTCCCCCCACCACCCATTGCTCACTCTCCTCTACCCTCCCTCACTCGCTCATTTTCACCAGGCTGGAGCGGGGGTGTGTGGTGTGGGAGCGGGTACAGGCTCTGGGCCCAAGGGCTCTGAGATGGGGATGCGAGGTTTGGGGTGCAGAAAGAGGCTCTGGGCTGGGGCTGACTGTGGGAGAGGGCTCTGGACTGAGGCAGGGAGTTGGAAGTGTGGGCAGGAATTCAGGGTGTGGGATTTGGGCAGCACCCACTTCAGGAAGCTCCCCACAAGCAACAACATGTTCCTCAGCTCCTAGATGGTGGCATGGCTAGGTGGCTCGGGATCTTGCATCCGCCCACAGCTCCCATTGGCTCTGGGTCCCAGCCAATGGGAGCTGTGGAGTTGGCACCCAGGGCAGGGGCAATGCATGGAGCCCTTACGGCTGTCCTTCTGCTTAGGAGCCAGGAGACATGTTAGTACTTCTGGGGAGCCACACAGAGCCGGGAAAGGAGCCTGCCAGCCCTGCACCAACCAAACCTTTCATGGCTTTCCAGTTAAAAACTGGACACCTGGCAACCTTACCACAGAAAAATATCTCATTTGAGTTAGATTTCTGAAATCTGATCACCACTCTAAGAGCTAAAAATCTGAAGCCTTTGAACCATTCAGTTAGGAGAGTTGACACTTGAAAGGAGAGGGAAATAAATCATAAATGGCTTTTTTCCAGTTTTACATCAACACCTGGGTTCTTGTGTCAGGAAGTCGAAGTCCCACCAGACCTCCACACACGAGAACAGTCGAAGCTAGGAGAATGGGGATTGCTTTGGTGATGCCCACAAGGGAACCAAATATCAAGTTTCCAAGTACAGCTGCTGCTTTGCTTAGTGCATTCAAAAAGCCAAAGCCAGTTGCCCTAAAAGAGAAAAAAGAACAACATTAAACATACTTGAAAAATTAAAGCCTTTGGGGGCAGGGCCACAACTGGGATAAAACAGAGCAGCTCCTTTGACTTCAGCAGAACCATCCCAACAGTTCTGTTCCCAGTTCTGTCCAGTTGGCTTACCTGATCAAACAATACCTTGTGGAAATGCTGATGTGACCTCATCCTCATATAATAATGAACACAAAGACTTTGGGCATGTGTGATGTAGTGAGGTGTGCTGTACACTTTGGTTGGGCATTCACTGGTCGCTATGCTTGGGCTGTGGGTGACCCCTACTGGCCTGCGTCTGTAAGCACGGCCCAGCGGGAGGTCGCCCTGAGGGCTCTCATGTCACATAGACCATGCCCCAACTGGTTCTTACCTGACCAGGGAAGGGGTTTGAACAAAGGAAGAGTGTAGCGTGGAGAAGGGACAGTCTTAGCTGGGAAAACATGAAAAGAACAGACTGAGCTGAGTGCTAGGGGTTCAGGGGCCTATGTCCCCCTGCCCCAAGGGGTCTAAGGCTGCCTGGCCCTGACTTCTATATTCATATCGCGCCTAGGCTGTGCTGTATCCCGGAGAAGCAATAAACACTCTCTATTCTACTGTTCGGTGGAGTCTCATCTTGCTGCAGGTGGGGTGCAGGGTCGAAGGGTACCCGACGTGCCATCACAGCATGAACCAAATGGTGGCTTGAAAAATGGGTCTCGGGATGCAGGTGAGACACAAGTCTCAGAGCCTGAGTGGACTGACTTAGGCTTGCAGAGTTGGGCTGCAGGTTTATACAATTGTCTGGGCTTGCGTGGAAGTCTTGTCTCTGAAAGCTCATGAGCAGACAAGGCCTCAGAGTCTATGCTCTTGAACACCTACACTACTATTTTCAGCCCTGAGGCCTGAGCCCCACAACTCTATCGATTGATCCAGGCTCTAAGATTTGGTGCCACAGGTTTTGTTTTGAAGTGTCGATGTGCCCTAAGAGATTCTGCTGGGTAGGGAAGGGAGGTGATTTCTTGGCTAAAAATCTAACAAACATGCATCAGATTGGACATTAATTGATAACAACATAATATATGATCGTATTAATATGCTATCAAAGCTCATGACAAGATTAAAACTAGATATTTTCTGCAAATCATTTTGATTGTAATAAACCTTGTTTAATCATGAATATATTATAGGTTAACTATTGTTTTAGTAATTTTGCAGTCTATTCCAAAGAGAACAAAACCCTTTACACCTCCCATTAGAAGCCAAGAAAGGCAAAGGGTATCAGAAGTGTTGGTCAGTACAGGTTTAGACTGAGGTTTCCTCAGTGAGACAGTGTGTGATCAGGGGCTGCAATCAGAAGAACAAGTGTGAAGCCTGATGACCAAGAATGAGACACGGCAGTGGAACATTGTACAAATGCTGACATCAACATTCTTCTCATCTAAGAATTCTTATGAGAGAAAAACCACGAACCTTGTTATCTATTGTCTCCTCATTAGCTCTGTGAATTGTGCACTTTCCAAACTCTTTTGACACTTTACAAGCTGGTCAGTCTTGCTGGGTGATTGCAACTGTCATTACTATATTCAAGCCCCCAGATCATTTGCAGCCAACAGCTATGCTTTATGATTCCCTTGCCATCTTTAAAATACTTGGACTTTAATAAAAAAGAACAATATTTTGCTAACATTCATTACTCTCTTTTATGCAACACATGGCACCCTTTTAACATACCACACAAGGGAAAAAAACGTCAGTGATCTGTTTAGGGAGAGAGACAGGCAGATAGAAAATAGATCCAGAGGTGCTGCTTGAAAGGATAAGCAGGAGAGTAGTGGGAGAGCCACAATCAATGGCCACCAACATCTAGGCATTTTACCTTTTTTCCCTAAGGTGGCTATTACTTTGGCATGTAAGCACTGCCTGCTGGCAGAGAGTCATCTGTGAATTATGCTTGAGAGGGCAAACTGAAATGCATTGGAAGCAAACACCTTTGAGGCTGAAGGATTTGCAGCATGACAGATGGAATAGTGCAGACCAATGATAGTTGCCTGAGAACCACTAAAACTCACTTTTAAGTGGCCACTAAAAAGGCCACTGAACCTTCTGACTGAGAGATGGACCAAGGAAGCACTTGCAATGTTGCCTTAAAAACTGCTAAAGCTACTCCCAGACAGAGAGATTTGGGGAAGCCCTAGGGATGAAAATTACCTGTTCTGTTCATTGCCTACAAAGCATCTGGCATTGGCCACTGTCAGAGGACAGGATACTGGTCTAGACAGAATGGCCCTGGTCCAGAGGACAGGATACTGGTCCTGACCCAGAATGGCCATCTTTATGTTCTTAAGAGCTGTGGAAAAAACCAATCAAGGGGAGGACTGTGGGGACACGTCTACACTATGAGGAAGATCAATGCTGATGTGCTTGCGTATCTTACTTTGACCTTCCAATGTAGTGTAGACCATGCCTGGGAGCTTTGGCAACACTGCTGAAGGAAGCTGGTACCTGAACAGGTGCTAGTTCTTCTAGCACACTAAAAACAGCAGTGTAGTTGGAGCAACATGGGCAGCAGCCTGGGCCAGACTTCTGAATATACGCACATGGATCCCCTCATTATGTTCTTGGTCAGCTAACCAGAGCCATCGGCCATGCTACCCTTGGCCACACAGCTATATTTAGTGCTCTGGCTTGAGTGGAGTTAGCATATGTCTGTCAACACATGCTGGGGAGCACACTCCAAGCTGCAATATAGACATACCCTTAGAGGGGCCCAAAGAACAGAAAGTGATTTTTCCCATCTCCCCAGCAGAGTTTGTGTAGTAAGGAGGAGGGGAGTCCCATTGTGCAAAATGGGGCAATACTACACATACACAAATATATATATATATATATACACACACACACACACACACACATAGTACACTTATTGTAGTTTTCACTAGTGCCCTACGGCCAAAATTTGCTCAAAAGATTATGAACACTGAGAGAAACAATATTTATATAGAGATAATATAATCCTTTTCTGTCAACATGTCTCAGCCTAAGGGCAAGTCTACAATACGGGCTAAAGTCGACTGAAGGTAAGCAATTCCAGCTCAGTGAATAACATATCTGCAGTCAACATACCACATCTGCAATGTGTATGCCACACTTGGTTGGTGGGAGAAACTCTCTCAGACTTTTATGTGTTTCTCATTCCAGTGGAGTATTGGAGTTGACAAGAGTGCATTCAGCAGTTAATTTAATAGGTCTTCACTAAATCGACCCTCAGTGGATCAATCACCATAGCGTTGATCCACCTGGTAGTGGAGACAAGCCCTAAACACCATATGAACTAACAGAACAAGTTTTGACAGAACTAACAAAAGACTATAGATATAACTAATGCAAATTTAGGTACAAATCGAGACATGAAACTTTTGGAAAGACAATGCTAAGGAACAAAGGGGTATATTTTGTATATTACTTTATGGAGATAAATTGCTTCATATATGCTATCTGCTTACATCATCTAGTTATAACAAGGACTTACATATAATTTCCTGAGCATTTTGGAACATTTATTTTCATATTCTGTGCTCTACATCTAGCACATTCAGAACCTACAGTATATTCTGCGATGATTATCTGATGGATGTCTCTGTATTTTATTTCAAACACAAAGGCAATTTTTGAAGATGGTATGTAATATATTTTAATTAAATTGGTGCAGTATTCAGGCATTGGAAAAACCCAGCTTTTTTGGAAAAAATAATTGGCCTAGTCAAACTTTTGTAACTGGATGATGCTGCTAATTCTGTGATCTCGTTAACACTATAAAATAACCATAAGGAGAGATGAATAAGATTGTTAAAATAAACCCATTTGTCTTTGCCCTTGACTATTTTGATGATTTAAAAGTGAACAACACTTTAGTAAATGCAATTTTTTGATCTTTAAGCAGTCTCCAAGCATATCATTTTGTATACAAATACCATGTTAATTATGACCAGAAACAAAAATAAGATGTTCAAAAGAAGGAATAAAAATATCTGAATAATGTAGCTCTTGCTCCCTGCACCTGAGCAGCATTCTCTCTGGCTTTAATCACCTCTGATTGCTTACTTGGATCTTGAAAGTATAGGTCTGACTGTGCAATCTTGATGCACTCAAGCAATGCCGTGTCAGGCTCTACAGCTTTAAAATACAAACATATTTGCTAAAATATTTGTGATTCAAATCATTCTATTCCCTATTAATACTTCCCTTCACTGTATCATAACACAATCTAGTACAACGGAGGGACTGAAAAATGTTGTCTATATCTGCCCCAATCACCAAGCACAACAGGGCACGGTCTCCCTCTGTGTCTCTGCTGCAAGCAGTGTTTCAGTTCATAGAAGAGGAGATCAAGTGTACCGACATTCTGAATCATCAAGGAAACGTGGTGAATCATCAAAGCACTCAATGTGGCTTGAAATGCAGTGAGGGCGAGAAATCATTCCCAAACATTGTACCAATCTGCACTACATTGATCAGTTAATGGGCAGATCGTTGGCACACACTCCTGTTTTCTGACGCTATGTGAGCAATTAGCCGTGTGATTCCCATTAGTGATGGGGGAGTTATGTAGTCACAATCCCTTGTGCACCACTTAGAAAATTGACAGGAACACATCACTTCAATACAGAGAGAACAGTGGGGTGGATTTGTGCAACTCTTTCAAAATTATTTATTTTATATCTTCTAACAACAACAACAACAGAATAACAATATGCAAAATTCTCTAGAAATATGGGGGTGAGCAGGTCTTGCAGTGTGGTGGCCATTAGATGGTAGATTTTAGTTCTGATGCTAGGGAGAGCTGGTTTCATTAAGCCATGACAAAGGGAAGTGACTTCCTTTAGCCCAGTGGTAGGCAACATGTGGCCTAAGAGCTGCATGAAGCCCATTTGGGTTCTATGTGTGGCCCATGAGACATTTTATTTACCATTGCCCATGTGCAGGGTTGCCAGATTCCACTG